TTACAGCTGTATGCCCCGCCGCTCCTGGACTCGGTACGGCTGCCTGCCTGTGCTGCCCGTTGCTGCCTGTTGCTGCCCGTGCCTGTGCTGCCCGTTGCTGCCTGTTGCTGCCTGTGCCTGTGCTGCCCGTTGCTGCCCGTGCCTGTGCTGCCCGTTGCCGCCCGTTGCTGCCCGTGCCTGTGCTGCCCGTTGCCGCCTGTTGCTGCCCGTGCCTGTGCTGCCTGTTGCTGCCCGTGCCTGTGCTGCCTGTTGCCGCCCGTTGCTGCCTGTGCCTGTGCTGCCCGTTGTTGCCTGTTGCTGCCCGTGCCTGTGCTGCCCGTTGCTGCCTGTTGCTGCCTGTGCCTGTGCTGCCCGTTGCCGCCCGTTGCTGCCCGTGCCTGTGCTGCCCGTTGCCGCCTGTTGCTGCCCGAGCCTGTGCTGCCCGTTGCCGCCCGTTGCTGCCCGTGCCTGTGCTGCCCGTTGCCGCCCGTTGCTGCCCGTGCCTGTGCTGCCTGTTGCTGCCCGTTGCTGCCCGTGCCTGTGCTGCCTGTTGCTGCCCGTGCCTATGCTGCCTGTTGCCGCCCGTTGCTGCCTGTGCCTGTGCTGCCCGTTGCTGCCTGTTGCTGCCCATGCCTATGCTGCCCGTTGCTGCCTGTTGCTGCCTGTGCCTGTGCTGCCCGTGCCTGTGCTGCCCGTCGCCGCCCGTTGCTGCCCGTGCCTGTGCTGCCCGTGCCTATGCTGCCCCTGCTCTTCCCCCTCCCCCTTCTTTGTCTACCTGCTGCGCGTGCAGCCGTGGAACAGAGGCTATGGGGGTGGCGGGTATGGGGGTGATGGGTGTGTGTGATCCCCTTCCCCTCCTCGTCCTTTCTCTCCCACTGCTGCAACTGCTGCTGGGGGGGGTGGGTGTGAGGGTGTGGGGGAGCTGGGGGAGAGGTGCTAGGGTTGTCGAGGAGTGTGGAAAGGGGAGTTGGAGGACTGAGGAAGGTTCTAGGAAGCAGCCGCCTTGGAGCCAGCAGCTTCACCTGCCAGCAGCTTCTCCTCATATAATCCCTCCTCCTCACTTGCCCTCTCCTCCTGCTGCGCTTGGTGTACCCCTTCAGGGGGTGTCTCTGCATTAGCTTCTGCTGCAGGCAGTTATGGGGGAGTGTCAGAATATATCTGTAACTGCCTGTAGTTGTAGTTAGTGTAGTTATTATAAACTTTGTTTGGTGGTGCGCCTTCTTTGTTCCTTTGCTATATGTTCTTGCAAACCTATAGTGGAGCCCCATTCTCTCCTTTCAACTTTCTCGACATTCATCTTCAACCCTAAACCTAAGCTACTAAGACACTCACTAGCAATGGCTCCTAAGCCTAAGTCACGCTAGTATCTCAACATGCACGCCAATCATCTGCGCGCACCTGCGAAGTGGGTGCACTGCTGTCCTGCGTGAGCAACGCTGGCACGCCGTCAACCTGCGACGTTAGCACGCCGTCGACCTTGCCTTGCTGGAGCGCGGTCGACCAAGTCGTGCTGGAATGCGGTCGATCAAGCTGCGGTGGCAGTTGACCGACCTGAATGCTTGCTCTGATGTAGTCTTGCTATGCCAACTTCATTGTACCATTGTTCTGAACTTTTCCCAGTGGAACTCTTACCAACTTTCCCCGTGAACTAGCAAGAAGTGTGGGCACATCGATCCGCCAAATGCCCGAAGTTTCTGCAGTTTTTGCAGTAGAGGCGTCGAGGTCGTCGCTCTTCGTTGTTGTCGGCGTAGAAGGCGAGCCGTTCACGTTCTCGTCGTGGCGCTGGTCGCTGCTGATCCATGTCCCGTTGTTCGACGAGAAGGGCGGCGCAAAGGGCGGCCTCCGAGATGACCCCCTGATGTCGGAGGAGCGCCTTGCAGGGCCGCCACTCTGGGCCAAGCCCTTGAAGCACAATGTTCACGAAGATTTCCTCAGAAATCGAGCTTCCCAACTTCACGATTTAATCCCGAAGGCTCCGACAGCGGTTGATGTAGCTGTTGACCTTCTCCCCTGAGGTAATCTTAGTTTCCAGTAGTTGCTGGAGTAGTCGGCTCGAGGAGACGGAGTCCTTGGGCTGATACACGCCGTTCAGGTGGCGCCAAGCGTCGAGGGCTGGGGCAGCCGATGTCTTGTATGAACGGATGTTCAGCTGCTCCGCCGGCGACATGTTACGCAGAATAATCCCGTACGCCATCAGGGACTCGTTATAATAGCGAGTCCTTGCGTCGTCGGTTTCCTCAGCAGGTCCCGAGTAGCTCCCGTCGAAGTTATGATGAATCTCCGCGTTTTGCAGCAGCAGCTCCAGCTCGAAGCTCCAGGTATAGAAGTCTCTGCCGTCAAAGCATGCGCTTGTCTTTATTTTTGATATGCTCAAAAACCTTGATTGCGCGGAGAGAATTGCTTCATCGCTGGGACAGGGAGTCTTGGGCATTGAGCCATTCGTATCTAGGGAGAAGCCTTGCGGGGCGGAGTTTTGGCCGTTTGGGGCCGGTTGAGTGGGTTGGGAAGAAGTTCCCGCATCGCCATTTCGCAATGTCTGGAGCCCTTGCTCTAGGCTCGTGAGTCGCTGAAGCAGCTGTGCGAGGACGGCGGAAGGAATCGTCGTCGTTTCCTCGTTTCTCGCTGCCGGGTTGGGCTGCGCTTCAGCCGTCAGATTCGTTTGACCTCCAGATCCTCCGGCCATTCTTGCACGTGATCGTGTGCCGGACGCCACTTTCCGAATGTCGCAGATTTCGGAGATGGCGGTGCGAAGGATTCCTGAGTCGCTCTCATACCATGCTGCGATCAGCAGTTGATCGTGGCCTAGGATCTACTCAGGAAGGTTCGCACGCAGAGAAGAGATGTTGGTGGGCCCTTGACCTCAATAGCAGAGTGAATGTAAATGCTTGAGATGAATAAAACATGCAAATACAACAAATATAAATATGAGTACAGCTAAGATGAAACGACCTAGCTAGCCATGTACTCGAAGGGGTACATTCCCTTATTCAAATACATTCCCAACCGTGCGGCGCGAACAGTTACAAAACTGTTCTCGCCGAAGCCATCCTGCCTGCAGCTGCCTGATGCTTGTGTGCTCCGACGGTTCAGATGCGTCCCAACTGTCTGACGCTTCGAGTCACTGAACGTGTGCAGCCAGATCACGGCCGTGCTGTTGTCCATCAGGTACACCTGCACAGCCCCCCCCCCCCCCCACACACACACACACACACGTGCGCGCGGGCATACACACACACACACGTGCGCGCGGGCATACACACACACACACACACACACACACACACACACACACACACACACACACACACACACACACACACACACACACACACACACACACACACACACACACACACACACACACACACACAGACACACACACACACACACACACACACACACACACACACACACACACACACACACACACACAGACAGACACACACACACACACACACACACACACACACACACACACACACACACACACACACACACACACACACACACACACACACACACACACACACACACACACACACACACACACACACACACACACACACACACACACACACACACACACACACACACACACACACACACACACACACACACACACACACACACACACACACACACACACAGACACACACACACACACACACACACACACACACACACACACACACACACACACACACACACACACACACACACACACACACACACACACACACACACACGCACGCACAGGCGCGCGGGGGCACAGCACGCACACACACGCACACGCGCGCGCACACACACACAGACACACACGAAAACGAGTTGGACGCACATGATTGGTCTACGACTCTACGCAAGTGCAGCAGGCACCTCAAAACAGATCAGAACCGTTAGACGCTTCACGTTCATTCGCGATACTGCGTGCTGCGGTGAGGAGTGCACACTAATATTCAAGTTTTACTATTCGTAACATGTTTGACACTTGCTTCATAGCCCATGTTGATCAAGTGCCCAACTTAAATAGTCGAATGCGTGCAGGGTATTTTCGAAACGTGGGAACAGTGCAAGGGTTCGGGTTTGAAAATAGCGGTGGTTACCGTAATCCCCCGTATATAGGACCCCCCCCCCAGTTGTAGACCCCCTGGTCTATAATACGGACCCGGGTACTCTATTCGAGTACATCTGAGTTAGACCCCCTAAATGGCTCCTAACATTATAAGACCCCCCCACATACTAGAGAAGTGCGGATTTTACAAAAATATGCAATTGGAAAGGTAACGAATTTCGAATTTCAAATGAGTCAACACCCATTTTCAATGTGTTTGACTTTCGAAGGCTTCACTTGTTTTGCGTCCAGTCGAGATGAGCTGGCACGTGGGCAAAGTGACGTGCCAAATCTCTGTGCACAGTCAGGGAAACGCCCTCGCGCGATTCTAATTCAGGATGCTGTATAAGTAAGATTCGATTGAACTTACGAGACTGAAATGTACAACATCGTGCATTCTTATAAATGTCAATGTGAACAGACCCGGGTCTTCTAAAAAATATACCATTTGATTATACCCCCCAGCCTTTTTAGGGGTGATTATCATAATACCCTAGGGTCTTATACACGGGGGATTACGGGTAGGTGTACTGTATTTGAAGCAGAGGTGTTCAGCGGCCAGCCTGTAACATCACTTTCAAGGTGACTTCTGAGTCGACTCAAAAGTCACCTTGTCGACTCAAAAGTCGGTGTTCAGCGGCCAGCCTGTAACATCAATTTTATTGGAGAAAACAGCCACAGATATAATTCCACATCTGCAACCTGGATGATACAGGAGACACAACTCACCATGATAAATACTGTACTACACATCGCAATAAGCTAAACATCGTCCATTACCATCAGCGCAACAACCGTCAGCATAACAGATATAGAGATTCCACCAGCACTGCAGCATAAGAAAAGGTTGCGGCACAGCAGCAGCCTCACTCACCAATACCGTACTCATCAGACAGGCATGATTCATGAACTAGGCAGCAGCAGAGCCAAAGAGTTTGGCCACCTCATTCCACATGGCCCAGGGCTTGTCAATGAGATCAACGGTGTAGTTGATGTGATGCTGGCTGGGCAGAAACTCAAACTCACACGGAATCTCCGAATCCACATACCCGTTAGTAAGCGCCATGGCAATCGTCCCTTTCACGTTGAGAGGCAGCGACGCGCTGTCTGGCGCCATGGCAGAAAGCTGGCGGAGACTCGCGGCCATGTCAGCGAAGTTCATCAGGGTGAACCCGAGGCACGAGGAGCCCACATCAGGGGGCTGGTTGGGCAAACCACCCACGGTTACCATGGGCACTTTGTGGCGTTTCCCCAGGACGTGCGTGAGGATGGCGCAGGCAGAGAAGCAGTTTCCGTCCGACAGGACCAGGAAGGGCCGGCCGCCAAACACCGGCTGCCGCTCCTTCCCGGTGAATCTGTCGGTCATCTTGAACGGCGCCGAGTAGTTTCCAGCCGGGCCGGCCGCTGTGAAGCGGCGCTCGCGGAAAGGAGCGTAGCCAAACACGCTTGTGAGATTCGTTCCGTTGAGGTCGGAGTATGCGTCGATGAAGTAGAGAGAGGCCGCGTTGACAGCGAGCAGGCCGATGGCGTTCTCGGTGTACTGCGAGCCGATGATGAAATCCATGGGCATGGTGAAGCTTGCGTCGGGGACCTTGGCTGCCCCCATGAGCAGGCGGATGGCTGTGTATGATGCCACCGTGGATCCGCCACCGTTGCCCCGCACGTCTATGATGACCTGAGAGGCGTTGGACCTGAAGAAGGGAGGGGCATGGGGGGAGTGTGGGGGGACGCATGGGGGGACATATGGGGAGAGACATGGGGGAACGCATGGGGGGAGGCATGAGGTCAGGGCGCTAGCATGAGGGGAGTGTGGGGGGAGGCATGGGGGGGAGTGTGCGGGGAGGCATGGGGGGGAGTGTGCGGGGAGGCATGAGGGGGAGTGTGCGGGGAGGCATGGGAGGACGCACGCGGGAACACATGAGGGGATGGATGGGGAGCACATGGGGAGCACATGGGGAGCACATGGGGAGCACATGGGGAATGCTTGGAGGAATGCATGTGGGGGCAAGGGAGGAGACATGGAAAGGATCATGGGGCAATGAGCAAGAGGGGGAAACGAGGGCGGACAAGTGCTGATGTTAAAAGGAGTGACATGTCAGGTGCATAGCATGAGACAGTGTCGTGTGCCATTGTAAGGAGCAGAAAGGCACAATGCTGGGAGTCGGGACCACATAAGGGTGAAAGAAGGAGTGTTTTGAGACGCCTCAAATCATAAGGGTGGCTGCAGGTAAGGGGTGTAACGAGGGAGGTACTGACGCTGCTGCGGTTTGAAGAGCCTTGGTGACCTCCTGGTCCATGACGTCATCCTTGATGTCGTCACTGAACGTGTGCAGCCAGATCACGGCCGTGCTGTTGTCCATCAGGTACACCTGCACAGCCCCCCCCCCCCCCCCCCCCCCCCCCAACACACACACACACACGCACACGCGCGCGCGGGCACACACACACACACACACACACACACACACACACACACACACACACACACACACACACACACACACACACACACACACACACACGCGCGCGCGCGGGCACACACAGACACACACGAAAATGAGTTGGACGCACATGATTGGTCTACGACTCTACGCAAGTGAGTGCAGCAGGCACCTCAAAACAGATCAGGTAATAGCACATCAGGTGGCAGTCAGTTACTGTTGCACACCAGCTGGCACACGCAAGCAAGTCACTTGATGACTCCAGCTGGCACACGCAAGCAAGTCACTTGAAGCTGTGCCACACACGTCAAGCCACAGACGTCATCACAAGCCAAGCACCCACCACGCAAGAACCCTATTACAACCACCAGCATTCACCCCAACGACTGAAACCAACTCGCTCACCAGGAAAAGGTCATCCTTGGGTGAGATCCTCGTTACAGTCGGCCCCCGTACTGCACCAGAAGAGCCGTTTGCTGCTGCAGCAGAAAGCGACGCAATCTCGACATTCAGGTTGCCGCTGCCATCGCTGGTATCATCATAGTAAACTGGATCGGGGTGGCGCTTGAGAAACTTGTAGATCACTGGTGTGTCTGCTGCATGTCCGTGTCCATGGAGTCCGAGCGTGCTTGCGTGCGCGCTAGTGCCGTCAGTGGCATTGCTTGATGGCTCCACGGCACAGAACGTCGCCCAGTATTCCGTGGCGTTTGTGAAAGCAGTCAGGTTTCCTGTCCCGATCCATGCCACCTGAACGTCCTCCGTCGAAGCACTCTTTCTGAGAGGTGCAGTGCAGTGCAGAGGGGAGCAGCACAGAGAGGATAAATCTGGCAGCCGCGGAAGAGAGAGCGTGAGACATGTTCAAAACTGAGCTGACTTTTGAGTCGACTCAAAAGTCAGCTCAGTATAAATCTGGCAGCCGCGGAAGAGAGAGCGTGAGACATGTTCAAAACTGTACGTGAAGAAGAATGAGAGTGGCGAACCAAGGCAGCAAGCAAGAGAGCAAGTGAAAACAACGACACGCGTAGCGACAGGGAGAGCCGATAAGTAAGCATCGACTGTCTGTCACTCACTCGATTGCGAACGACACCAGTAAGGTGTCATTTTCGGGAGCATAGGCTCGCCGGGCGAAGTCGCCTGGCACCTGGACGATGCCTGTCTCCCCCGACGACCCATCCACTATATTCGCCGCGAAAGATTTCGTGAATCGCGCAGCCCGATTGCGAAACATGCCCCCTTCCTTGTCCGCCCAGTTCAGGATGAAATCTTCCGCCTTTTCCCCGTTGATAGCCACCACCTGGGGCGTCGCATGAAACATGGAACATGGATTTGTAAAACAGGTGTGTAATGCATGCAAGCAGGGCGCTGCTGAATGAACCAGGTGCTTGAATGACATTAACGAACCGGGTGACTCTATCAGTTGTTGCATCATTGCATGCATACCTGTTGGCCCTCGTACAGACTGAAGTCAAAATTGTGCAGAACCTTTGCAACATGGTCCAACCCGTTGGGAGTGACATCTGATGGCAAGAGGGATTTTCAAAAGAGAGTTTATGGTTAAGCTTTTTTCGTGGTACGCTCTTTAGGATTGCTCTGCTTTGCAGCAGAATGCCGGGGAATACCATTGAACAACCCTAACTGTTAAGAGTGACACTTACTTAGTGCAGCAGAGCAACCCACAGACAGTACTGCAACACTCACATCGGCGTGGCGCAACGCGAATGATCTGCTGCCCGTTTTCAACAACAGCCATGAGCGGCAACGGCAAGTCGTAACTGCTCCCTCCGAAGCAAGTCGGATGGAACGCGCTGTGCCCGTCGTTGAGCGCGTTGGTCGCGCGGAACGCCGCCATGTGCGCGTCAACCAGCCGAGGGTACTTTCCCGCTTTGGCGTTCGCGACGATTTTCCGCAGGTCCGCGACAATATCGATGCTGCTCGGCAGGTTGGTCTGGTCCGGCGAGTCAACGGCGATGTGCTTGTACACGTAGTGATTGTCGAACGCGTTCGCGATCGACAGCAGGTCCTCCACGTCGCAGTCCTTCCTGCCAGTGGGAGATCGGCCGTGGCAATTGTACAACCGCAAATCAGGCCAACATAAACGAGACCAGAAAGCGTGGAGTTCGGTTTCAGTTCAGTGGCGCATGAAAATAGATAGCGGAAAAGAAAAATATCAGCAAAACTCTTTCACGGTACATGAACGGTGGCGGTACGATACAGTACCTGAACAGGAACGTGGAGTGGCACGCGCGGAAGAGAGAAGGAGCAGCGAATCCTTGCCCTCCAGTCTTGTCCCCAAGTTTCCCCGCAGTGCGATTCAGCTCCGCTGCCAGCGCAGCACACGGGTCGGGCGCGGCTCCGGCTGCGATGAATCCGTTCAGAGGGGCGTCGTGGCACGATACCGCAGGAGCCGGCGCCGGCGCCGGCGCCGCCGGAGCTGGCGCCGGGACTGCTGAAACTGGCTGCCCAGCAGCCACCTCTGCCGGTCCGTCGGACTCCGCGGCAGTGAGAGTGGCGGGCTTCGCGGCGACGGGGAAGAGGCCGTCGTTCCAGAACCAGTGGCGGGCGGACGCGGAGGGCGCCTGGAGCAGCAATGCGAGGACGAGCACGGGGAGAAGCCCCGCCGCCGTGGAGAACGCGCCGCCGCGCCCTTGAGTGACGGCCCGTCGCGGGGCAGCCATTGCGCTGCGGCAGATGGGGGACTGGGTCGGCTACGAGTGCAAGAGAGTGTCAGCGGCGGTAGCAACGCACGCTACTTGTTGGTTAGGAGAGAAAACTGCGGGAATGAACTGTGAGGTGTGGATGGCCGAGCGGGTAAATATATTCCGTGGGAGAGCAGAGCAGGAGAGGCGAATTTGGTTCGGAGCTTCGGTGCGAGTCGGGTCGACGATTTTCCGCCGCCGCGACGCCGCCCATGGTGTGCGACGAGACCCGCTCGGTCGCCCAGTACTAGGGCAGGGGCGAAGTATGGCGAGCGTACGAACCGAACCTGCCCTGGTGTGGAGAACGGACTCCAAAATCCCTGATTCGTCTTGCCCCTACGACACAGCCCCACTGCCTTGCGACGGACTAATGCCATGCGACCTCACTACAGATTGGAAGGGCGAGGCGGCTCCGCAAGTCTTTCGGATAGGTAGCTGGTGGGGAGATGTGCAAGACTTAGGAAGTCTTGTTCGGGTTGGTAGCTGGTGGCGAGAGGCGCAAGACTTTGCGTGACTCAGCTAATAGCACATTGATGAGTTGTCTAGGGATCCGAGCGAGGGCGCATTCCTATGTATAGCGTCGCGAAAAGACGTGTCGAGGTTGATTGTGATGCCTGTTGGAGGTGAGGATGTTACAGCGCAAGTGCAAATTGTGTGGAGTCGTTCCTATCAATTCCCAAATGCGTGAGTCGCCACGATTTTTTCTCGTCGCGAGCGGCTGGAAATGTCGTCTTCGCACTCCGAGCACGGAGTTACCGATTTTTCGCAAGAATCAGTCTAACTGGACCCGGATCTGGAACTCGGCCACCTCCTGTGCGGAGTCTGCTCGTAAATGTGGGCCCTAAGGTCTGAGGTTCTGGGAAAGCAGACGAAATAGAGTAACAGGTGTGTACAAAGTTGTTTTCTTCAAATAACACACATTGAAAGGAGTAACTTCAGAAAGGGTTACACGACGATACGACTGACGATCGCCGCAGAGACTTTCGTCAATCGCTTGACCACCCGCGAGGGCAGGCTGACTGATAGCCCAAGGACCACTCTCCTATTTTTGGCGGGCTGTCAGTCAGCCTACCACAAAAAAATAGGAGTTCTATGTAGGAATCTGTTGGTTTTCGCTCCTTCTCATACAGCTCATAATTGCACGTACCGCTCAAACGCGCTACCGACGTAGGTCGAAAACCGTCGTGGCAAGCTCGCACGTATTAGAGAAGCCGCTTGTTAAAAATCAATCTTCCCAGGTGCGTGCGTAACTGGATGTTCGCCTCCCCTTTCGCGTGTGTCGCACCCACCCTCGTCTCCCTCTCGCGACCGTCTCGCAGACTCGCGCGTTCAGATTTAGGGTTACCATTACGACTCAGCATGCGTGTTCAGAATTTGCGTAATCATACAGTCGTGATCCTTGTCACTCTTTTTCCACGTCTGTCGCGGTTAGCACGCGTTGTCGTGTTACGAAACAGGAGTGACGACTAGTCGCGATTTCCGGCGTTGCGCGTCCGGCGTTGCACACCCGTGGCAAGAGATGAATAGGTTGTGCTCAAGTCGCTTTTCCAGACGTCTCAAGACACGTTTCCCCACCTTCCTCGCTGCAGTGGACAGACGGAAGCTCAAGACAAAGGCAAGACGAGGGACAAGCCGTGGAAGGCGGTTCAGTGAGAGCCAGCACGTGCAGGAGCGACAGCAGGATATAGAGTCGTATGGTGGGTGTCTCGCACGTGTATCGCATGCTGGAGATGTGTCGCATGGTAATGGGTGTATTGCATGGTGGGTGCATGTCGACTTGGTTTTTCCGGCTCCCCTGCTTTTCCTGTATTTTGCTCTCCCTTTCTTTAACCTCCCTCACAACAAACTTTTCGTGGCTGCCTTGGCACAATTCTCCTCACATTCATCTTACATTCGTCTCAGATTCTTCGCAGATTCTTCTCAGATTTGTCGCGGATTCTTTTCAGTTTTTTCCCAGATTCGTCTCAGATTTTTGCCGTCCCACCAAGCTGTTTCAAGGAGCTGTAGCTGTTTCCACCCCCACCACTTGCAGGTGTTGCAGTGGTGGCTTTTCAAGGAGCTCAAAGATGCACAGGGGCAGGCAGAGGTAGCAGCTGACGCTGACAACTCCTGTCTCCCCACCCACCCCCCTGTTCCAGTCTCGTTCATTCCACCCCAGGCGTCGCGGTCACGGCTGTTCAAGGAGTTGAAGGAGGCGCAGCGGGAGGCACGGGTTGCAGCTGACGCTGACAACCCCTATCTCCCCACCCACCCCTCTGTCTTAATCTCGTTCCATCCCTTCCTCTCGTTCATTCCATCACAGGCGTCGCGGTCGCGGCTGTTCAAGGAGTTGAAGGAGGCGCAGAGGGAGGCAAAGGGATCAGCCGATGCTGACATCATCCTGAGCTGTGATGAGAGCAACATCTACAGATGGACGGCCCTCATCAAGGTAGAGTTGAATGGACGGCTGTGATGAGAGCAACATCAACAGATGGATGGCCCTGATCAAGGTATGCAGGATGTGACGGTTGTGATGAGAGCAACGTTTACAGATGGACGTCTATTATCACTGCTTCCGCATCTTCCTAAACCCCTTCGTAACTCAGCCCCCCCTGCTGTTTAGTACATTCAACCTATGATACGTAATGGCCCTGCCTCAAAGCCTAGGGTTGACTCGTGTGCCCCTTCCCTCCCTCCCCCCCCCAACCCCCCCTCCCCCCCCTCTCCGCCTCTCGCTGCTGCCTACCCTTGACCCCGATGTTCTTTCCCCAGGGCCCAGCTGACACGCCTTATTACGGAGGGCAATTCACCCTCACCATCAACGTGCCCCAGCAGTACCCTCTTGTTCCGCCCCAAGTGCGGTTCGCTACCAAGGTCTTCCACCCCAACGTGCACTTCAAGGTCAGTCAACTCTGAGTCAACTCAAGTCAACCAAGATCTTCCACTCCCAAGTGCACTTCAAGGTCAGTCAACTCCGGGTCATCACATTTCGGCCAATGCACTTTATACATCATCCACATGGCATGGAATCAGCTTCAGTGTGTCTCTCACCTGACTCCCGTTTCTCTCACCTGACTCCCGTTTCTTTCTCTCACTCACCAACTCCTTCCCCTTGCACCCCCTCTTTCCCCCCCCCCTTTCCCTCTTCCACGCCCTACCACCCAGACGGGGGAGATCTGTTTGGACATCCTCAAGACCGCATGGAGCTCTGCCTGGTCCCTCACACCCGTGTGCACTCGAGGGACTTCATCCCATGCGTGTGCATCTCCGTCATCACTCTCACCCCTTCGTCCCCCTTACCTCCACTTCCTCCCCTTCCACGCCATGCCATGCAGACGGGGGAGATCTGTTTGGACATCCTCAAGACAGCATGGAGCCCAGCTTGGACCCTCACATCCGTGTGTCGCGCCATCATCACTCTCCTCTGCCACCCCGAGGCCGACAGCCCACTCAACTGCGACTCAGGTGAGTGAGACACATCAGGTCAATCAAGTCCACCAAGTCGCTTCCAGTGGGAATTTTCTCGTGTCTCTGTGTCGCGCCATCATCACTCTCCTATGCCACCCCGAGGCCGACAGCCCACTCAACTGCAACTCAGGTGACTGACATTCCAGCCTTGGATCGGTGTCGAGTCCAACAAGTCACGTTCAAAATGAACCCGTCACGTCCATGAGTCTAATCTCATGTCTCTCTCTCTCTCTTTCCCCCCCCTTGTGTACATACCCCCTCTCGTGTAAATACCCCCTCTCACGTACGTAACCCCTCTCGTGTGTTCCCTCCATGCGACCCCACCCCATTCCCCTGCAGGCAATCTGATTCGAGCAGGTGACAACCGGGGCTATTGCTCCATGGCTCGCATGTACACTAAACTCCACGCCATGCCGCCCGCTGCCAGATGAGGTTGATTTGGCTCACAGATCGACACCATGTTTCCCGCGACCAGATGAATGTTGAAGGTGTTGAGAGTTTCCTGGGGCTCACATGTACACTACATTCCACGCCACACCGCCTGCAGCAAGGAAACCTTGGAAGGCATCAGGTATACCATGGGTATATGTACAAGTTTTTTTTTTTATCTATGGTATGATGCGTGCATCATGATGGTCTTAAAGCGCCAATTTTGCTGCAGCTAGCTAGAATGTGAATGTGGCCTCTCATCTCTTCGCAAACGGAGGACCTGACCTGCTGCAATCTCTTTGCGAACGGAGCACCTGACCTGCTGCAAAGCAGCCATTGCAACCTGCACTGTGCTGGGATTTACAGAGTAAGGAAGAAGCGCACAGACAGACCAAACAAACTTGGATACTGGCATCATCTGCATGTTTGCATCCGTTGAGAATGGCATTTGCTTGCATCCCCCTCAGAAGCGCTCAGTTTCGAGGCGCCTCGAGTGTTGTGAGAGTCGCAATACAGGTAGGTGTGTTGTACTGGCACCAACCATGGCTGAACATTGGAAACACCTCAGAATCCGTGTTTGCAAAGCAAGCAGTGAGGTAGGTGTCAAGTGGCCAGGTGTCCTTTAACCAGGTGGCATTTACCCACGTGTCATAGGTGTCATTTGACCAGGTGTCACTTGGAGAGTTGCCTCTCTAAATCCTCCAGAGATATTGGTGCATGTAGCTGTGTGGGGGGTTGGTGATGGGGAGTGGATATGGGAGAGAAAGAGGATGGAGAATAGAGTGCATGGAATATAGCACGGCGGCGTGTGGCATGGATGTATGGTAGCATGGTAGCGTGGATAACATGGTGGCATGAAGGCACCATGGCATGGCATGGGTTGTGTAAGGATCATGATGTGGCATGGTAACGTAACATGCCTGCCTTGACAGATTGCAAAGCCAATTGTCAGGGTCTTCACAACCCCAACAGCTGATACCTCCCTGACAGCACTATCTCCCAAACAACCCTCCCTCACATCCCCTTACCTCCTTGGCGATCCTCAGCCAATCACAGGCTCTTGCAGGCCCATCACCAGCCTTGGGAACTCCGTCATGGTTCCA